TACTGTCTAATCTGACACATGTTTATTTTATAAAAAATTAAAGAGATTTCATCTAGATAATTTGAAATGTTAAGTCTGAAAATCGAAAACACATAATGTCGATCACGGTGAGATGAACCAGCGCAGCTTCGCGGTGCGCACACTCCATTAGTTACATATAATACAACGTGATTGTATACGAGTGGAAGCTGTATCACGTGTCAGATTAAACGATATGAATCCGTCGACTAAACGGTCGCTACACGTTAATGTTTCGACTTAAAACGTTGCATTCCATTATGAATTGGTTTTTGTGGGTTACCGGCTACTTTAAATACCTGACGTGTAAAATGCGTTTAAAATATCATTGTGAGATAAATGCGAGCGGTTAACGCAGTGTGGTGGTCTCCGGCGAGGAAAATATCGATAAGATATCAATGTGGTGTATTAAACTATTAATAGCAGCGTAATGGTGTTGCGACCATTAGAATTCTTCAACCGTTTGAAAACCGACGGAGCTTACAAATATTAAGCACAAAAGGAATATTAAAATCGGGTTTAAAACATTTAACGGACGTTTTGGATACTTGCAATACATCAGTCGAACGTTGATTTCGTTTTTTAAAATGAATTTGTTCTTTTTACTTACACGCGTTTTATTCAAAACGGCTTCTTTGTGCGCCAACTTTATACATTCGTTTTATAGTTCATTTTTTCGGTATGACTATTTCGTTTTTTTATCGTAATGGACCGATAACCATTCGACCGGATTCTAACGTCTAGTTCGAATGCAAAATAATTTTCGCCGTTAAAATAAAATGGTATTTTATTTAGAAGCTGGCGGATTTCCTTTTGCCGCTATTTTCTTTCAAGTTATTTTGATACGAAATTAAATGGAATTGTAAATTATTTTGTTTAACTGAAACACCGATGAAAATAAAAATCTATATTTTTTTGTTCGTTTTCTACTGCTTAGTATTATTATTATTACTTTAACCGACGCCATCAGTTTGACGTCCCGCAACAGGTTATCATTATAGAAAAAAATAAAACAAACAACGTCAAAATGCCCGTGTGCGGCTTATTCGCACCCGCCCTTCACGTGCACTAAAACACAACGACCCACGGGAGGCGGCAAAAATGATTGAAAACACTGACGATGGGCTTAAGCAACTACGGGGAAGTAAATTCACTTGTAAATTACAGAACTCGGCTCATGAACGGCTGCTGAGCTGAAGAAATGATTAATACTTCGTCAGTTAACATTAATACAAAATACACAAGACACGCCTATGAATTCACTTTCGGGGCACCTGTCTTCCAGAGACCAACCCAACCAACACACGCGGGTCGTATAATATATAAATGTGCGCTTTTCTTGTGTATTTTTTCTCTTAAAAACAAACAACATTCCCCCGTAATCATTTTCGTCGACAAGTCTTGATATAAATTGGTCGGGTGGTCGGTCGTATTACTAATTATTTTCTGTTTGTTTTGTACTTGCGGCAGTGGTAGTTCAACAGATTTTACAAGATTTGACCGACAACGAAACAGCTTGCCACATAAAAATGACAGTCGAGCAATTCTTGAAATCTGACTTACGGAAACAACGATTTAGACTTCTACCACTAGACTGTGGCGCCACCAGCCCTTTTTCCTTTCAGTTTTAATTATAATGGTTAACAAATGGCAAGAATAACCGCCTCTTCTAGAATTGTTTGCGCGCAAAAAAAAAAAATAACAAATGTCGTTCGCGAATGCAAATACAGATGCTATTGAGGTTAAAAATTGCTTAAGTATTATTAAAAATCCACTTAAAAATTTGACATTCACTAATGATGTTCATTTTTAATGTTGAAATAACTACTGTTAAAATTAGACATTTTGCAGATTTATGTAACAGTGCTATATAAACAGTAATAATTTATTAGATTTCGTAGATATTTTTTTATTTATATTGAAACTTTTGAAAAATTATAAATTATTTATAGTTTCTAAGATGATAATTTTTACATTTACTTTTTTTTCTATTATTAAAAGCATATTTTGGATTTCAATTGATGAAAGGTATTTTTATTTTTCATTCATTTGACATGGCGAGTATCTAGAGAAATTTATTGAGAACATCTCACTTCTATTAAGAAGTAACTGTATAATATTTTTTATTGTTTAAAAAGAAAGAAAAATAAAACGACTAAACAAAAAAAGTTGTGATTATCATATATTACTTAATTATATTAAGTAATTAAAGCCTGGGTAGTCTAATGATGTATTTCTATATATAGAATATCACACTATATTCTGATATCTTTTAAAACTTTTAATCCAGCAAATGTATAGCGTTATATTTTATTATTTTTACAATTAAAAAAATTATATTTTTTTAAAATTTAAACATTTTGGAATAGTCATTTTTAAACTCTTAAGAAAAATTAGATAGGTCGATAACGACCTTATGATAAATACTTATTGAGTTACAAGTAGTATAATACATAAAAAAAGAATAAAGTGTATGAATTATAAACATACACCAGTATGAATTGTACCTACTTTTAAATTTTTTGTAATATTGTATAAAATTAATTTATGAACAATAAAAAACAAATGCCTTGCCCTAAAACTAAAATCTTCATTTAATATGATATAGCCTTCGGGGAAAGCACACTCTTACCACTCTATTGAATTCGCCATAATTGAAATTGTTATAATTAGAAATTCGTCTTGTATTTTTATGGACTCACCAAACAATTTTTGTACACATTTTTAAAAATTGTCCATAAAATAAAACCCTTAAGGAGAATTATTCCAAAATAAAACATCTTAGCCTTTTAGTTTACATTGGGCTATTTGACATTGATACCTTGGTTTTTATGATATCAACAACCTTATAGTTCTTATTTTATAGCTTGGTATTTTTTTTTAGTAAAATTTTTATGTTGATATTTTTAGTGCAAATTTTTTTATTCTAACTTATAAAGTTTCAATTTGTTTAATTACATTTAAAATAATTCATTTTCAGAGATTATCAAATAATTGTTTCAATTTCGTAATATTTACCACATTTTTAATTAGTAGTGTCGAAACAAAGTTTTCCATTCATTAACATATAATACTTGGGCCCCATGAAACTAAACACAATTTTTTTCATTAATCTAAAGTATCTATAAGTATCTGAATACCTTTTTGTTTTAAAAGATTTCAAAACTAATTGTTAAACAAGAACAATTTATTATATAGAAAATAGTTTTAATTGCACAACTTTATCTTAAACAAACTAAGAAAAATATATATATTTTTTTAATTACATAATAAAAATAGCAAAAAATTATTTCTAAATACAAAATAAGTCAATTATGAAAATATAATTAACTTTTTCGATTATTTAATACGTTTCGAATTAATCTTGATGATATTACATAGTTATTATTGCCCAGTTTTGAATGTATGATACATCTATAAGTATTATTATATAGTTTACAAATATTTTTTCTATGGTCATTTGATAACTTGAAATCTAAATAAAAAGAAATTGTTAGTTTTTGAACAAACAAATAAATATTGTCATAGATACCTAATATGGTACATTTGACTGCCAAAGGTGGATTTTTCATAAAACACATCTCCAATCTACGTAATTCACAAGCTTTCGCAATAACTGATTCTCCCCAATCAAGTAAATTAATTACATAGGTCTCTTCTCCGTTCACATTTTCTTCAACAGATCTACAAATTCCTCTATACCACCTACCATCTTCTAAAATTAAAGTAGTAAAAGTATTACCAGGAAAATAATGACAATTTTGGTTGTATAATAAGACATCATTCGATTAGTGTTATGAAGCACTTGCATGAATAATAAAAAATATTAAATAATTATTAATATCAACTTATATTATAAGTTTTTTAATTAAATAACTATCATAGAACCATAAATCTTTCTGAATTATACGTATTTTTATACTATTTTTACAAGTAAAATGATTTGTTACCATATTTAGTTGCACAAAGTTCATTTTTTTGTGGTTTGTAATTACGATTTTGAAATTCAGGCTGTCTATAATATTCAGTCATTTTATTTTCCATAGACCTTACGATATGTTCATCAACAACTTTTGTCATGCAAAAATAGTTTTTTAGAGAGTATAGTACTCTCATTTTATAGCTATAATTATTTGTCAATTTGAGTTGAGGCATATTTTCTAACATATATAATTTTGGTCTGCTATCGACTAGAGTTCCATTATGTCCATCCACAATACCATCTTGCTATAAAGCAAAAAAATAGTGTTAATATACATTATTTATGGTTACTTTATTCATCTTGAACGTCTTCTCTGAAAAGCTATGTTAGTAGTTCATAAGAATGTATAATAAAAATTTAAGTATTTAGTATAATTAGAATAGAAAAATATTGAATATATGGTTTCTAATTACCGAATATAACTGTGTATCTTCCAATGGAGATTTTGACCAATTTAAAGTTGATGCTTTATCAACTAAAACAAAAATTACAAACAATTTTTTTCGTATAATTTCTAATACATTTTTTAAGAAATTTTATATAAAATGAAGTCCCGATTCTTCATCTCCAGTAATTACTTAAAATTTTTAATAATTTCTAAAATAGTTGTTGTTTGCTAGTAATTTTATTATTATTCAATAATCTAGTTATTTAAGCGTATTTCTATTTGAAAAAATATTTGACATCGTTATAGGATATGAAAGAAAAAAATAATTTATCATTAAAAAATTCAGTAAAATTTCGAGCTATAATAAAGAGATGGAAAAAAATTATCAATATTATTCTTATTTTTCGAGTAATTAAGTGGTTCGTATTATCTTTTTACTGGTAATTTTACAAATTTAATTTATAACTTCATGTTAATCATTTATTTTTCTTATTACATGTCGATTATTTTTAATATGATAAAATATTAAAATATAACATTTTTATAACGAAATTATAATCTAAAAAATTACTATACATAATTAATTGTATCTTAATTTTGAATTAAACATACCTTTTAAAGACATTTCTTTCAAAGTGTCCAAATGAGGATCATTTGAAATTGGCAAGATGCAACACTGTGAAATTGATTCATGAGGTTCTGCCGTGGATTTTGAAATTATATTTTTTGACAATAGATCAGTTTGTGTTCCACAATTTGTCAAATCGAATGTGTCTGTTTGCGTTTCAGACGTATTAAACACAGCAATAAAGTGAGTCTGAGTAAATTTGTCAGAAAATAATATCGATGTCTGAGAAGTAGCGACTTTAACCCCTTCAACTTGTGAAACTAAGTTATGTGATTGTGGTACACATTCTACTTGAATCATCACATCTTCCGTCACCATAATAGTCTGTGATTCACTGTCTACTAATGTCACTGAATAAAATATAACATTAATAAGAATTAAGTTAATTAAAAAGTAAATTTATTACAAATAGAAAAAAATCAATTTAAGAATCGTTTAAAAATACAAAAAATTACCCTTAATATTTTTTCTTATTCCAAATTTCTTCTTGACACTTCTGAGTAAACGTGTAATAAATTTAGCCATTTTTGATTGATATTTTTTGATTACAACACTATGAATAATTTCTGATTCGAATTTTACTTTAGTTCTGGATTCTAATTATGTTGAAAACTGTTTTTATAGTGAAAATCGTAATTATTAATAAATGTACAAACGGTTACTATGACAAATTTTTTTTAAACCAACCAGTAAGAATCATTAGTTTATTTTTATTATTTCTATTTACAATTTTATTTATTAAATATCATACATTGAAGCGATATTTTAATTAATAACATTAAAGATATTACCAATTTTATATTTTTATGTACTTTATCTAAAATGTGATTATTTTGTTACTTATAAAAGGAATTGGAATATATACAATTTTCTATATAAACTTTTGATTCAGTTAATATTTTGCATAGAAACTTATCCTAGAATTGTTATTGACCTATCAAAATTGTTTATAAAGAAAGAGCAAAAATACAACTACTGAAATTCAAAAAAATATAAAAATCCTATTTATTTTTTTTTTCATTAAAGACAAATAATAAGAAGTATGTTATTAACAAATTTAAAACTGTTATAATTAATTTTAAAAAAGTAACCCAAAATATTAGTTTGTGAACTGTATTATATATGTTAAATTATCATGAACTACACTGTATATTAGTATATACACAAACATAAATTTTATTTATCAGATACTATATTTTAGAAAAAACAATAAGACATAAATAATTTGTCATCGATTTGAATATTAGTCTGCATTTACTCTGATAGAGATTTTAATACTAAATAAAATTAATTTATGAACAATAAAAAACAAAAGCTTTGTCCTAAAACTAAAATAAGAAATTAATATGAAATAGACAAAAAGGGGCGACCGTCCTTACCTTCCCCAGGAAACCACTGCAATACCAATGTAAGTCATCGTCATATTTCATTATCTAAAACAAATAAGAATTTATTAGTGTAAACATAAATATCAAATTAATGTCAATTTAAGATACTTTTAAGTCATCTTTATTGAAAACGGTAAACCAAAGTGGATAAGATTTTTATCGGGAAAGAATTAATATATATTATACTTAATGACATTATAAATATATATTATTGAACAAATTCATCTATTTACTATTAACATAATTTCATTAAAAATATGATCATTAATATCATCTATTTTTTGTATATAGAATTAGATGGTTTGGTATGTGGAGAAAAGAATCGGAAGCTGTAAGAACAGTTATAGAAAAGGATGTTGACGGAAGAAGAAGTAGAAGAAGACCAAAGAAGAGATGGAGGAATGTTATTGATTGCGATATGAGAACAGCTGATATGAGCGTAGATGTTGTGGGAGATTATGTCAAGTGGAAGTTTCGGATAAGGATGGCCGACCCCAAGCAGTTGGGATAAGGCGAGGAAAAAGAAGAAGAAGAATATCATCTAATTTTTGTAAACGAAATAAAATTATGTTTATATTTATCTTAATCGGAAAGAACTATTTTTACTTTTGCTTTATGTACATTTTTATCCTTTGTTGCCATTTTGTTTTATTTCTTAGAGCTAATGAAAGATTTTATTACAGTACGTCCAATTAGTATTTATAGGTTATTATTGGTACTTAATATTGAGTAAGGTTAGAGGCCATCTCTAAATCCGATAACGAAACGACTCAAACTCAAGTTACATCCTGTTCTTCGTTAATTGTTTTTAATCAATACGTGGACAAGATAGATAGTGTAATGCTGGTATATTATCGAGAAGAAACATACGCTTCATCAAAACATGATAGTCTCATTAAATGAAAGGTACTTAGATTCTACCTATTTTACATCACAACTAATTATAGTTTGCCTATGTTAAAACAAAACAATGAATATGCCTTGTTTTTTAAATATGTACTAATTATTTCTAGATTGAATAATTAACGAAATTAAGAAATGCATAGGATTGAAGTGAACCCTAAATTTTAGATTTTAGTTTGGGAACTATAATTTTATTTGGTGATGCGTAAATAAATAAATTATATTAATAATTCTGTATTATTAATATGTAGCATATAAAAAAATGTTTTGTAATAGACGTTATATATATATAATAAAAAATTAATGAGGTAAGGCATAAAATGGATTATTAAATTTTACCAGTCATAAGCTTACATGAAATAATATACCAGTACATATATTGTAGTATATCAAAATGACTAACTAATGAATAGGAGCTGAATTTTACAGTTGGAGCTATGATTTTTAGATTTAGTAGCATTTATAACTTACACATCAATTTTAATTATTTTGAATTTTTATTAGTCTATCTGTTTACTTATTACAAAACAAAATATAATAATGAATAAAATAATAAGTAAATTAAAATTCCAACTTATGGTAAATAGAAAATAATGACATAATTACTACCAAGTTAAAAGTTTAATGCGACTGAAGTTTATTCTCCAGGGAAAGTCTCAGTACAAAGGGTTAATAATAAGAGTTTATGAGTAAAATTGTAAAACAAATGTACCATTAAAATTGTATAAGACAAACAAACGAATACAACGTTAAATGTCAGAGAAAATACCAAAAGTACAAAAGTTGATCGTTTATTATTAAAACTCTTGTATTCTCTGCCTAAGGTTGTGATTTTGTAATTCGTAACGACGGATAATAATCAATTATGTTAGATTTGTTTGAAATGTTTAAAAAGTAAATAAATAAATATAAGACAAAATAATTAATTCAGTAAAATATAATTAAATTTTAGACTTTTTAAAAATTAGTTAATACATTTATAATAAATGTATTAACCTTTACAGAGTATAATACTCTGTAAAGGTGAATAATTTACTGCTAACTACTAGATATCTTTCTAAAATATAAATTTTTTTAATGAAAACGTACATATCTTATCAGTTTAATGTTAGAAAATAATCCACAAAAGAAAATAACTAGTCAATAACAAAACTTCTGACTTAGTATTTTAAATGTTATGAACATATTCATTTCTAGATAGAAGGAATGTGGCAAAGTGATGCCTAATAATATAAATAAAATAACCCAGTATACATTTAAAAATATTAATAACTTTCGAAACATTGGTTCAAAATTTGTTTATAATTATCAAATTCTTAGTTGGATCATTTAATCTATAAAATATGTCTAATATTAAAAATAAAATATATTAAAATAATTTTTATCAAAATTATTATTATTTAAGAGAAATTTAGTGTTCATCTACAAATAAATTATTCTGTATAGAATGAGATATTTTATTTTTGCTATATAAATATTATTTTCTAGGTAAATATAAAAATTATAATAGTATTAGGTTCATTATAACAACTCTATACTTTACATCAATTCTTCTTATTTTGCCTCGCCTTTATCTCAACTACTTCGGATTGGCTATCCTTAACCTAAACTTCTACTTGACATAATTTCTCACATCATCAATGCACACATTAACCGTTCTGATGCATTCAATGACATCCTTTTACTCTTTTTTTGTCTTCCTCTACCTCTTTTTTTTCTCAAAATTCATTTCCATAACTGTTCTCAGAGCTTCATCTTATCCACGATTGGCACTACACCAATACTCCCTCCTATATGTTCGTTCCTTATCCTATCTTCTCTAATCATACCACTCTCCCATCTAAGCATTCTCATCTCCACTACACACATTCTCTGCTCTATTTTTCCTCTAGTTTACTTCAATAATTCAAAAATAATAATTATTTAAAATTATTAAAGTAATGTCAAGTTATCTATAATGTTAAACTCAAATTATAGCAATGAGAAGTCTTAAATACAAAATTTTGTTGAGTAAAAAATTTTTTTATGATTTTTAATATGTAATTACAGAACTATGAAAATATTTACATTACAAAAGAAATATTAATATATTTTAAATAAATAAATCACTCAAGTGTTTAATAAATATCTCTCTACATTAGTAATGTTAGGTTTTCTATGTTAACAAGTTGATTTATTTATGTAACTTTATCTTTTTAATACGATGTTTCAAATATACCTAATTTTTGTCTTTTGTCAATCCATTCCTTTTCCTTTCTGAAATAATACTTTCTCATGCTATGGCTCTAATCTTATCTTTACATAACCCAAAACCCTAATAATACTCTAAACGTTACGCAAAATTATTAACTACGTCAGAGCAATATTATTTATGAGATATAATGGCTGCTAGATGTTTTACTCCCCGAAGAATTTGAATGGAACTGGCACTTTGCAGAAAATATTTTTGCTGTTCCTATAGTTTCCAAATGAAACTACCATTAAGTTCAAAGTTTGATAAAACAATGCAATTGTAATAAACAACATTTTGATGGCCTGATACTTGAGTAGTATCATGTAGCTACAAGATACTGCTACTTTTACAATGTCGAAATATCGAATTTCTGCAAAGTTTTAGAGTATTATATCAATATATGTTTGTCAAATGTAGGCGATATGGTTTACACTCAGTCAGTGTTATTCAACCGTTCGGTATACCTCAATAATTTTCCTAAGGACTTATGCCGTTCACGTAGTGCAGTCGTTTAAAATGCCCAATGAAATAGAGACGAAAGTATTGCATTTTTCTTTATCTCTTATGTCACTTATTCCACCCATTTGTATAAAATACGAGAATACTTTGGAATACTACAAATGACATCCCAGGAATACGTAATAAAATAAAAGAATAAACTGAACTACAATTTAGAGAACACAATCGGATTTATAGTTTTAAACTCAGTTTATTTAAACAATGCCGTGGTCAACTCACTGAAAGTTAGAACAGAAACATTATTTGCTAAGAGCATTAGATAATATGAAATAAAAACATCACACAAAACGTATAATTTTAACGTACTAGCAAAGAAGTTTCTAATTTTACAGTTGATAAACACTCGAGGAAATTAATGGTGATGGGTCATTTTCAAAAACAGTTTATGTAATATATTAAATATTCAAAAATAATGATATTTAAGTATACTATACAGGCCAATAATATTGACCGGTTTTCTTAAAAAAAAAAAAAAAAAAATCACCATCACTCTCAACAAAGTAAAAATAATTGACTCTATTAGCGTAAGTTATTGTCGGATGAA